CTCAGTGACCCAGGTGTCGACTCATCCTGGAAGAGCACTTTCTCTATGATTTCTCCCTCTGCACTTGCTCACTTTTCACTCCAAACAGAACATTAATGCTGAGGATTCAGCTTTCCCTGCTCCACCTACACGGTGACCATGACATTCATCATCTGAACCAGGGCATCTGTAAGAGTGTATGGGGGCACTATCGATAATTACCTTGGGACCACAGGTGTAACCCAGGACTGTCCTGAGCAGGTCAGGATGTGTGGCCACATTACCAGTCCATGAAATCCTTCAGAAAAACCACCTTTGGTGTTCAGAAGATAATGAATTGTATTGTTCCCCCAAGGGTAGGCTTTGAAGAACCCCTTCCTTTTAGGGAAGTGGGCATCACTCTTGCCCTGTTCTCACACGGCTCACACTAGTGCGACTGCAGAACTGCCCTCTTTACCTGACAGACGCAGCAGGAACAAGCGACCCAACAACTGGACATGACTTTCTTACAAAAAAGACAACTCTGTTTGGGACACATGGTGCATTTTCTTCACAAGACAGAGTGGATTGTTCGAGAACTCTGATATCCTGAAGAGGTAACAGTAGGCTTCCTGGTTGACCATTCTCTGTTTCTCGAAGACACAGACAACTGATACACACACATGCTTCTCATCAACAAAAATTCTGAAAACTGGAAGTATGAGGAAAATTAACTTCTTTGATCGACAGAGAAATCACAAATGCCAGGCAACCGTGCTTTGTCCGTATTCCACACGGTTGCTTTGTCATTGGGGACTTTGACGGATCCAGGGGTCAACGCAAATAAATAGAATTTCCTGGGTTGGAGCCAAATTATGGAGTCAAGGTGTGTCTAAAGACCTCTGTCTTTTGAGGAGTTCAAGGGCACGGGAATTTAACCTGTTATTCAATCACATTGACCCCAACCACTCCAGTGGGCTGACTCATCTCTTCTGAATGCCTTGTTAAAAATATAAAGACCCACTTATGGGATAATAGGTCACAGCATTAACTATATGTGGAGTATGAAGAACATCACCACTTTTTTTTTTCTGTCACCTCACACTGTATCATCTCAGAAAGGGAGGCAGCCACTGATGATATTGACTCAGGCCCTGGACCATTAACAAATCTAAATCACATCTTTTTTCCTGATTTTTCCACTAACTCAAGTCTTGCACTGACTACACACACTAAATAAGAATGAGAAGAGGAAGAGGAAGAAGGAAGAGAAGAAGCAGAGGAAGGAGGAGGACGGGAGAAGGGAGAAGGAGAAACAATAAAACTGCATAATGCCTTCTAAATACTATGAGGTTTGGGAGAAATTTTTCATTAGTGACTAAAACCAGACGAGTACAGAACTGTTAGTGCTTTTTATTTCCACTCTTCCTGAAAAGCCAGAGATGTTTTCAAGTGTCCCATTTCCCTTACTGTTGAGCGGTAGTGTCAAGTCCTGCGTTTGTGTATGGGATTTGCTACACTTCCCATCTCATGTCGACCTCCTGGGTCTCCACACTGTGGGATGATACTGTTTGAATGTGAAAAGGTGCCTTCCCAGAAGTACAGCAGAATCCAATACAATTAGAACACACAGTAAACAAATAGTCGAGTGAAAACATCAAGTTTAATATTTGTCCCGGGAAATATCTGAAGTAATTTTTGAGGAAACAAGCATAAGCTATTTATTACTGATGAGCAAATATTTAATAAATTTAAACAGAAAAATGTCGAAAGGCTAAATTGAAATTCAAGTTGAATATAGATCAATAAGATAGAGTTTTTCCTTAAAAAGCAGGAATATTTCTTTTAATAACTATTATTTTAGTATGTCTCCACACCATACTCTAAAATGATATAAAAGCAAATATCCAAGTACACTGCCCTAGATGATCTTACAAAGAAAGGGAATGAGATAAACATCAATCATATGTGATGCACTTGGAACAATGCAACCTACAACCTTACCTTCCATGATTCTAATGAACACTTCGTGACTGCAAATTTGCTCAGCCTTTACGATGGTCTGACACACAGTAGTAAGCACTATATAATTATTTATAAGTCACTATCAACGCATACAATATGTGTCTTAAGTAGAAGCAAAGATAAAAGTTATAGATAGGTAACAAATGGCTAATAACATCCAGGAATTTTTCATAAAGAAGGGGACGTATAATGGAACGAAAAATTGAGAACAGAACTTATTAAAGTTACTGAGGCAAAATGAAACACCATCAAGCCAGGCACAGATTTGAGGTAAATGCAGAAACCAGTGAACAGATGCAGGTGCCAACAGTATTGGATGGAAGATCGGGCTTTAAAGTGAGTTAGGCAGTAATGGGACACAGCAAATGCTTTTGTGATATCTGTTAACATTACAATATTTGGTGATATTTGAAAGGAGAAAATTCTTTCTTGAAGCAATCAATCAGTCTTACTGGAGAGTCAGATGTGTGGTCACAAAGAACTGTCCTGCACGGCTTTAGCAGCGGTTCCTATTGCAGCTGCACTAGTTTTATAACATTCGTTCCTTACAGGGTAAGAAATACTTGACATTGATGTGGCTTTTCCCATTCAGGTTGGCAGGCTTAGTCTTAAAGCTGGGATTGATTACGGACTTGACAATGTTTAGCCAACAGTTATTTAGAGCCATCTCCTTTCTCCTTTCCACACCAAGTTTATGGAGAAATACCTGGTAGAAAATAAAGAGTAAACTCTGTGTTCTTCTCTTAGAGCTGAAGTTCTTTCTCCACATTCTATCTCCAACTCAGTCTTTCTCTATTGGTAGATTGAGAGCAGACTGAGGGCAGCATGTACCACATCCATCCTTGTAGCCCCAGCACCCTGCACAGAGCACCATATAGTAAATCCTTGTGAACTATGGTTTAGATGGGCTTCACTGAGTTGAATTGGGTTGGATCAAATGGGATCAGATCAAAATGAATAAGAAGTAAAATATGTCTCCTTTTTTATTTTTAAAACAATTTTTGTTTGGGTATAAAGTGAAAAGTACATAGGATGATACGTATTATCTATCTCAAATGATCCCTCTCTATCATCAGTTTTTTTGCAAACTGCTTTGAATCTAGACTACTATAAAGAGCCTGAATCCAATCAACAAGATTTGATTAGGAAATTAAAAGTGGTATTTCATCATGGTGGGACAACAAATGATAATGAATAACTTTCTTCAAGATGCATTCCTTAAAATAATACTAACTGAAAGTTTTCGATAAACCCTGTTTAGAAATAGCTCATCACATATGCATTGTTAAAACCTTTTTTGTATCACAGATTTAGAGGCACAGAAAGCCTTCTTATAAAAGAGATATGAGACTTGCAGTTGCAATTAGTTCATATTACAACATAGAAAAAAACCTACCTTATCACAGATCAAACTGATGTAACACCTAGATGAGTACATTTATATATTTGCATCACAGAGAAAGATCCTGGAAGGGTAAATAATATGCCACATTTAGTTGTTAAGGAACTATTTCTACCAATTAGCAAAGTATGACTAAAAGGGCAGTCTTAAGACAAAAGCACATGTTGCAGACTCCTGATTTTTTAACCAGTGCTGTTTAAATCCACACACTTTGAACAAATAAAAGCTCTAATAGTTTCTTGGAAATGAACAGCAGCCCATAGGTGTGCCCCTAAAATGATTAAAAAGTAATACAGAAGTAAGGTCGAAAATAAGAACTTTCGTTTTGTATTTTTCTAGTCCCCTTACTATCTCACATGATGATTGGAAAAATCTTCTCACTGAAAATCATACTTGGCCTAAAAGATCTGAAACTAACCTATGATCATGTTATTTGTATCTGAAGAAATTTCCCGAGAGAGTCGGACATGCAGTTTAACACAGTGTGCCTAGACTTGGCACAGCGATGCTTTTAGGTCCCCTTTATTGGTAAAAGTTGTTCCTTACAAGCTAGCTGGTTCTCAGAGAAAGGTCTATGCTCTCTATCTAGATTGATTTTCCTTTCGCTCTTTCCTGCCTATCTGGTTGCCTATCTTGGTGCATGTAGCTAAGAGTAGCCTCTGAAGCAGTTGCAATAAGTCATAAGTGGGGAAAATATTTTATTCTAGACTTATAAGGCCTTGGAGACTATGAAGACTCAAGGATTGTTTTTTCAGACATAAAATAGAATAAGCCAGACATAAAAGGGTCCACACAGAATGATGTCAAGCTCAAAACCAAGCACAACTAATCTGTGGTACTGTTGGGATAGTGGGTATTTGCTCTGTGAGTCAGGCTGCTGGGTTGCTGGGAAATGGTGTTGTTTCTGGACATGATGCTGGTTACATGAGTGGGCTCATTCTGTGATATTTATTAGCTAATTCATTTATCCTTTGGGTATATGCTATACCTCAATAAAAAGTCCAAAATAAAATACATTTAACAATAGAAATGAAAAGCATTCAGCCCTGGCTGTTGTGGTTCAGTGGATTGAGTGCCAACCCGCAAACCAAGAAGTCACTAGTTCGATTCCCAGTCAGGGCACATCCCTGGGTTGCGGGCCAGGTCCCTAGTTGGGGGCATGTGAGAGGCAACTGATCAATGTATTTCTCACACATTGATCTTTCTCTTTCTCCCTCCCTTATCCCCTTTCTAAAAATAAATAACATGTTAGGAATGAGGGTGGGAGGGAAGGAAGGAAGGAAGGAAGGAAGGAAGGAAGGAAGGAAGGAAGGAAGGAAGGAAGGAAGGAAGGAAGGAAGGAAGGGAGGAGAAAAGCATTCAAATTTCCTTTTTCTAATTCTAGCAGTATATTCTAAAAGGGCAGGTGTTCATCACAGATCACAGCACTGTGTGGTCCCAAATCATAAGACTGTCGACCAGCAGAACCAGAATTTTGCATCTTCTGCTTCCATGTCTTGTGGTTTTTTTCCCCCAGTCACAAGCTGGGCTGACCTATAAGGCCCATGGCACAGCCTGCTTGCCTGAAACCTGGTCACCTTTCTCTATGAACTAACACTGTTTGCCATGTTCACAGGCGAGTTGTGTGAGGAGAAGCTGGACTTTTGTGCCCAGGACCTGAACCCTTGTCAGCACAACTCCAAGTGCATCCTGACGCCAAAGGGATACAAGTAAGTCAGGGGCTGCCTTGATGCTCACATTTAGGAGAACCTTCCTTTCAGGATCTACCTTCACCCCTTCACTAGGTTTAAAGGGAGCTATTCTCTGGGATCAATGGCATTGGTCTAAATGGCCATAAACAGCATGGACTTTTTTTTTAGTTCACTAGAAAACATAAAAGAGATTGCTTCCTCTTTGCCATGACTTCCTGGGAAGGCATGTATGAAGGAAAAGAGCCTTTGCCCAGATAAGCAAATTTTATTTGAAGGCCAAATAAGTGTGGCATATCTGGTGGGTGCTTTATTATCTGAATGTAAATCTGATAAAATATAGAGTTTAATGAAACTGAAAGTCTTTGATCTGCAGCCGTGCTTTAACTGTACAAGGGGAGGAAGATAGAGGGGACACGTATCCCAGGTTGCCCGGGGACAGTCCCGGTGTATGCCTGTTGTCTCGGTGTAATTATTAGTAGTGCCCTTTCCCCTTCCCTGTGTCCCGTGTGGGAAGAGAAAGCATACAGTTCTCCAGAAAGAGGGCTTCTCCAAGTGAACTCAGAACTTCCAAATCACTTTTATGCCTTCCTCAGCAATCTTGCTGAAATATGCTTGGAATCAAAATTCAGTTACACCTTTGCCACAGTCCAGAAATATTTTAAGGATCTACCAACAGCAACTTCTCTTCTTAGACATAGCAGTAGTTTAGAGATCGTTCCTGTTCGAATTCTCCCTTTTGAACATGCGGAAACCGCAGCCCGGATCGGTCAGTGGCTGTCCCGGGACCTCAGGGTTGCTCACTGGCAGAGCTGGAGGTCAGACATTTACTTCCCAGCTGGGTGATTTTTCTAACACAGGTCACCTCTAAGTTTGGTCATTTATTAACCTTGCAGCTGGTTTATTATGGAAGGTAAGCTGGATTCTCAGGGATGACACAGTCGGGTTCAGGAGTTGAGCTGTGATTTCAGACGACTAGACAAGAACATCGTTTGTTCCTTTGCACAGTATTTATTGAGCACCTGTCAAGGGTTAGGGCACATGGCCATCTGCCGTCTTATGCTTTTATGCTGCTTTCTAGCTGTTCGCTTTCACAGGCTTTATTTTCTCGGTGAAATGACTCAGGCCTAATTGTCATAGGATTCAGAGAGTCAAAAACGACTCAGGTCAGGAAGAGTTTTATGAGACGAGATGGGATTTGTGCTGGGACTCTAACATTCTGAAATTTGTCAGCAGACCATCATACACTCTCTGTTGGATGGGAGGTAAGGGTCAGTATTACCAGGATCCCCACTGCCTTTAAAGGTCAATCTGAATAAAATATTTATTCTCAGGTTTTATTTGTTTTTTGATACAGCTTGGTTTAAAATTCATCATGTTGGAAAATGCACAGTGGTCATACTTGTCAATTCCATTTGATGACAAGCCTACGTAAAAACCAAAAGTCTTATCGAGATCATTACTTTATACAAAATTCTGTTTTGCATTTTTGTTCATCTAAATACTGTGCATAAATTACTTAAACTCCTAATATCTCCAATCTGCTCACAGTTGAACTTGGCAAGTTGAAAGTCCATCACATACACAACAGATGTCATTTCTCAGATAAATTTGTCAGTTAGGAATGTGGTTTTCCACAGCTGCATGTCTACTATACAGGTTTCGTGGGACTTCATGCAATGTATTTGTAAGATAAAGTTTTAGTGAGACTTAATGTAAGTCATTACAAAATGGGGAAGTTCATCTTCAAAAAGACAAATCTTTAATTCAGTGTCTTCCATTATTATCAATTAGATTGCACACCTTTTTTTCAGTTACAGTTGACATTCAGTATTATTTTACATTCGTTTTATGTGGACGGCATAGTGGTTTGAAATTTATATAATTTATGAAGTGACCCCGATAAGCCTAGCACACACCTGGCATCATACATAATTAATGCAATATTATTGACTGTACGTCTTATGCTGTACTTCACATCCCATGACTATGTAACTACCAATTTGTACTTCTTAATTCCTTCAGCTTTTTCACTCCGTCCCTGAAACCCCCACCCCTCTGGCAACCATCAGTTTGTTCTCTGTATCTTTGACTCTGTTTCTGTTTTGTTTGTTTATTTTGTTCTTTAGATTCCACATATAAGTGAAATCGTGTGGTATTTGTGTTTCTCTGTCTGACTTATTTCACTTAGCATAGTACCCACTAGATCCATGCATGCCATCACAAATGGTAAGATGTCATTCTTTTCATGGCTGAGTAAGATTCTTTTGTATATATATGTGCTCCATCTTCCTTATCCCTTCCTCTATCAATGGGCATTTAGGCTGCTTCCATGTCTTGGCTATTGTAAATAATACAGCGGCAAACATGGAGGCACATGTATCTTTTCGAATTAGTGTTTTGGATTTCTTTGGATAAATACCCAGAAGTGGAATTCCTGCGTCATAAGGTAGTTCTGGCCCTGGCTGGTGTGGTGCAGTGGAATGAGTACTGGCCTGCGAACCAAGGGCGACCGGTTCAATTCCAAGTCTAGGGCACATGCCTGGGTTGCAAGCCAGGCCCCCAGAGGGGTGTGCATGAGAGGCAACCACACATTGATGTTTCTCTCTCTCTCTCTCTCTTTCTCCCACCCTTCTCCTCTCTAAAAATAAATAAATGAAATATTTTAAAAAATAAGGTAGTTCTGTTTTTTTAAACTTTTTGAGGTTGCACACTCTTAAGAGTAGAGCTTACAGGATTATGGGTTAGGAGTTTTCAGCAGGAATGTGTGAGCTTGTTTACAGCTGGATGTAGCTTAGCAAAAACCAGGTGAAGTCACAGCATGTCCCATCACTCCCACAGACACAGAACCGAACATTGTGGGGCAGGCACTTCTAAGAAAACTGGACTTAAAAACCAAAACTAGATGGATGCTGCTGAAGAAAAAAATCTCTACTGACAAACGTTGTTTGGACAAGTTGTACTGTTCCTTCAACTTCATTTTCTTATTACTAAGCTAAGAGAGTTGGTTTTACTTCTCCAGCTTATTATATACCTCATAAATCTCCTAAATTGCTTTGAGATATTTTTAGAGCATGATATGCCATAAGCAGTATTTTCAAGCATGCATCTTACTTAGTCAGCTTTTGGGCTTGCAAACAGTGTAGTTTATAGTCGATGCTTTCCTCCTCACTCCTTGACAGATGATGGAGTTGAGGGAATATGATAGCTCTTATTGATAATACAGGCTTTAAGGAATTTCTAATTAGATAGTTTCTCCCTGTTTTCAAATGAGGTCTGAGGAGCAAAAGAAAGACAAAGAAAAAGTTGGTCATAATGTAACTCTAAGTTCCAGTGGGCTTGAAAAATGATATTTCTAGAGAAGAGAATATGAAATAGCTCTTAGACAGCCACTATGGTGAATGTATGGTTCTCTTATCTTTTACTTTGATTCCTTTTCTCAGATAAATAATTCAGAATGTTTCAAAGCATCTCTTCTTCCTTTTAGTGCTCAGCACTTTAGCCCGGCTTGCATTAACGTGGGCGGGAGCTCTCTTCTTGGTGCTTGTCCATCTATCTGAGAATGTCTGTGGCCACTTAGGATCCATTTAACTTCAGACTTGTTTACTTTGCATTGTTATGATTTAGAACTAAAACCGCTGGCTCTAGGGCAAGCATGCTTATGCAGTGAGCTCATTTTATTTCTTAATTCATACATGCAGAGCTTCAGGTCTCTGTGTTACTCCATTTATTTTAATTCATCAGTTCTCCAGCAACTCTTACATCCAGATTTTGCATTTGCAGACAAAACTCCTGGCATTCAGTAATGTCCACATCCACATTGGTGTTTTCAATTATCCTCATTCACTTAAACCCTGATGGCTTTGAAATAGAAAAGTGGGTAATTGCTACAGCGGAACCATAAAGACTTTGATAGACTTAGTAGAATCATTTTTAAAATGCCTACCATTTATTGATCATGCTTTATATTTCAAACACTATTCTAATTGCTTTACAGGTAGCGTTTTTACTTAATCATTTAACAAACCTATACAATGGAAGTTATTTTATTTTTTATATGTTACATATGAACACTTAGATTAAGTAACTTGGCCAAGACAACATACACTTAAAGATAAGGCCAGTGTATGAACCCAGTTGTGTCTAACAGCAAAGCCCAAATTCTGTAAAGTTAACCCGTAGTTCCCTGGTTTGTTTTTTGAAGTCAGGGAACCCAAAACAGAAATACTCATGGAAGCCCAATGCATAAAACCAATAAATTGCAATCAGAGAAGGTTGGAGGCAGAGGGAGGGTGGAAGGAAGCTACCAGAAGCACCCCTCCCCTGCCATGGCCGTGTCTTTAGGGTTCCATGGTCCCTGCAGCTCCACAATGCATAGTTTAAAAACCACCGTACTCGCCAACTGCTTTCCCTCAGGTGGCTTGGAAGTCCTGGGTCCTTGGTGTCACGGCCAGAGATTCCAATAGTCAGCACGAGCAAGACAGGTTTTGCAGAGAACCCTTGTAGAATTATCCAACAGCACATACAGCAGTCCAGGCTCCCTCGCTGGATTGTTTGGGTTCAGTTGCTGGCAGCGGCACCTACAAGTTGAATGTCCTTGGGTAAGGTAGTTAATCAGCGTGTCCTTTAGTTCCTCACCCGCAGGGTGGAGTAGAGATAGCATCAATGTCACAGGCTGGGCAGAGCATTCAATAAGTCCATGTAAGGCACAGGGTGTGGCAAAGAGGAAGTGCTCAAAGGACAGCAACAGCAGCCTATTATCGTTGGTTCTTCACCCTCAGCGCAGCCAAGACCCCTCTGCCCCCGCAGCCCCAGAGGAGCAGGCCGAGAAGCTGTCCCAGAGTCTGGCCCCCAAGTTATGGTTCCCATGCCCCACCCCATTAGGTCAGCCCCATTCGGGCACAATGATTATCTGGATTTAGGATGAGTTAGGGTATCCAGTATTAACGTAATTTTTCACAAAAATATATTTTATTCCAATGTATTTATTCTCGGCTAGAAAGTTTTTTAAATGTTATACATTTAAAAATTGCTTAATATTTTTAGTAAATTTGACAACAGAGCAATTTTATCATCTCAGCGTCAAAAGTCAATTAGTGTGGGGGCAACTTTGCCAGCAAGTCCTCCCATCTTCCACAGGTGAAAATAAAACTGCCAAGACATGATCTGCTTGGGGAGAAAAGGTGGTCAATCTCTCACAGGAGAAGGACCAAGAGCCTTTTCCTAAATGGGCTTTTATTGGGTTCGTTTTGCACAAGAATACAGGTAAGGATCAAACAATAGATAGCATTCAAGGAACTCTGAGGGCTTATTCTCAGCCAGGGTCAGATAGCTAAAGAGCCATAAAACTTTGAGGAATAAACTTTTTGCTTGGACCCTTATCATTTAAATGAGAGAATTCTAAACAAAGCAGGTTTCACAGGACTTTTAGGAACTCTTTCTTATGCCCGATCACCCCAATCCCACTCTAGCCAAAAAAGGGCTACACCGCCTTCCCTATCATAGGTTTTTAGGCTTAAGTGGATTAGAGCCAGGAAGTGCTTCTCCCAGATGGAAATGGGGATTTGGGCTATGTCAGAATAGCTGGTGAGGGTCCATCACTCCCCCTTTGCTGCAGCCCCCCAAGTCCTTCCTTGAGGGCCTCCCAAGTGATCATGTCTGGCTTAGGTTGCCTGTCCTCTAAGGGGTCTTACTGGTCACTGACTAACCAACCAAGCATTTGGGGCAGAGATAGATGAAGCAGAAGTATTGCTCCTGCCAAGAAGATAAGCTTTGTCTCCTTAGTGGCTCACAGTCTGAAGGTCACTCACTCAGCCTTATCCACAGGGAGCAGTTACAACTCCTGAAACCAGGCAAAGCGGTTCCCAACAAATTAGAGCTGCAAATAGAAGACCCTGTAGGCAAATAAAGTAGGGAAAGAAGGGAAGAAGGAAGAGACAAAAAAAGGAAGGGTAGAGGGAATGGAGGAGAGAAAGAGAAAGGGAGGAGGAAAGTAGGAAAGCAAATATGGTGGACAGAAGGCAGCAACCCTGGTGCAATGATTGTGTTCCTATTTGGATTGTGGACCCTCACTCTCATCGGGGCGATGAAAGCCCCACTCCTCTGCCAGACCACAGTGAGAAGCCATAGGATGCTTTGCAGACCAGCACTGTTTCCTAGGCCTCCTTTCATCTGGGGGCTCTGTGCGCCTGTTGACATATGCTTTTTTTTTTTTTTACTTATCGAAAATGGAAAAAGGAATATGTATTTTTGTCTCACTGTACACAAAATTTCTTTTTAGAAAAATAATGAGTAGGAAAAATTTTTTTTTTCAAGTACAGTTTTTTGTCTATTTTTCCCATCCCAGCCTCCCCTGCCCCTTGCTCCCCACCTCCCTCCCATTTCCTCCCCCCCCCTTAGTTCTCGTCCCTGTGTCCTTCCTATTTGTTCCTCCAAATCCCTCCCCCTTTTTCCCCTTAACTTCCCTTCCTTCTCCCCTCTGGTCACTATCCCCTTGTTCTCTATTTCAGTGTCTTTGTTTTTTGGGTTCTTTTTTTCTGCTTACTTGTTTGTTTTGTTGTTTAGCTTCCTGTTAAAGGTGAGATCATATGGTATTTGTCTTTCAGCACCTGGCCTATTTCACTCAGCATAATGCTTTCCAGTTCCATCCATGTTGTTGCAAAGGGTAGTAGCTCCTTCTTTCTCTCTGCAGCATAGAATTCCATTGTGTATATGTACCACAATTTTTGGATCCATTCATTTACTGATGGGCACCTAGGTTGCTTCCAACTCTTGGCTATTGTAATCAAAACAGCCTGGTACTGGCATAAAAACAGGCACATAGACCAATGGAACAGAACAGAGAGCCCAGAAATCAACCCAACTCTCTACAGTCAATTAATATTCGACAAAGGGGGCAGTAACATAAAATGGAGTAAAGATAGCCTCTTCAACAAATGGTGTTGGGAGAACTGGACAGCTACATGCAAAAAAATGAAACTTGAGCACAGACTTACACCATACACCAAAATAAATTCAAGGTGGATAAAAGACTTAAATGTAAGTCATAACACCATTAAAGTCCTAGAGGAGAACATTGGCAAGAAAATCTCAGATATTTCACGCAGCAACTTCTTTACTGATATGTCCCCTAGAGCAAGGAATGTAAAGGAAAGACATATGCTTTTAAAGGCGGTGCCATCTTTTTCCAGATGAATGCAGCTGTTTTTGGCACTTTGGCACAGTTGGGTTTGAACCCCTTTCCCTGCTTGTTCACACAGATGTGACTGCACCCCAGGATACATCGGTGAGCACTGTGACGTGGATTTCGACGACTGCCAAGATCACAAGTGTAAAAACGGAGCCCGATGCACGGACGCGGTAAATGGCTATACATGCACCTGCCCCGATGGTTACAGGTAAAAGGAACAACAGGCATCTGTGCGCAGAGTTGGGTCTCACAGGACTCTGTTCGCACTGGCAATTAAGGGAAACCTAACCAACATATGTCTGTCTTTCTTTAGCGGCCTGTTCTGTGAATTTTCCCCACCCATGGTCCTCCCGCGGACCAGCCCCTGTGATAATTTTGACTGCCAGAATGGGGCCGAGTGCATCATCAGGATGAATGAGCCCATATGCCAGTGTTTGCCTGGCTACCAGGGGGAGAAGTGTGAGAAGCTAGTTAGTGTGAATTTTGTAAACAAAGAGTCCTACCTTCAAATTCCTTCAGCCAAGGTTCAGCCTCAAACAAACATCACACTTCAGGTAAGATTTCCAGTGCTCTCAAGAGCTAATTTCCTCTTAAGCCAAATTCAGGTTTACAGCACACACATCCATGGTACTCTGTGAGTGACAGGACTTCCTCACAGACAGTTACAGACAGCAGAACACAGTGACAGGCCGTGCTCACCGAGTGAAAGCTTCTGTCTTTTCTCCAGCATTTGTATTTTTCTCTGCTATTCAGAATCTGCACAGGGAGGCTTTTCTTAGAGAACGTGCAGCTGAGGAGAAAGCAGATGGGACAGAACGCACTATGGCAAAATCTCAGCGGGCGTCTTTTCACTTTTCATGCATAACCTTTGAGGATGGGCACAAAACAAACAAACTCAGGTTTATTGCTAGTCTTTCCACCAAGTCACCGAGTAGCTTTGAGTCAGGGATTCAGATCTCCATAGACAAAGTTAGACTAGATTAGAGGTCATCAGTCCATGTAGGTGACATGGGGCGGGTTGGGTCTGTGCGTTTGTTTATCCGGAAAGCAAAATGTTTTAATGTTTTGAACTCAAATGGGTTAGCCTACTTCCTGTAGACCCCTCACCGTATTTGGTTTACCCTGGCACTCCAGTGAGGGGTGGGGTTCTTTAGATGTCATGAGGAAGAGGACCCTGCAAACAAGACAGTTATTGTATTAAAAAAAAAGTCTTCCTGCCTTCCAGCATTCGCCACATTGGGTTGTCATGAGAAGTAGCGAGCACTGACTGCCCTGACTTTTACAGAACAAAGTCTTCAAAAGCCAGAAAAAGCCAGAAAGCAGGATGAAGCAGAGAGGTCCCTCTTTTCATGCCATAACTGTAAAGAATTTGCTGCTTTATATGAACTATGAAAAACAGTCTTGCTCAGTGCAGTCACATTTCACGTGTGCCATGAACAAGGCCAAATGAGCAGGAGAGTGAAAAGCTCCAGAAGAGCAAGTTCAAGCCCATCCAATGGCGCTTACTTGAGTATTTGTTATTGTTCTTTTTCAACAGAGCAGAAACATGACCAGTTTATTCTTGATTAGATTTTATCATTTTCTGCTGAGAAAATATAGTTTGAAATCTAAGGGGGAAAGCTTGATTTACTTCAAACCCTGTGCACCATAATGATGTGGAAAATATTTTTCGACTTTAATTTCCCGAAGTATAAATTATGTATGTAAATTCCTCATTTCTGCATGTTTTATGGGACATGCATCTTTAAGCTTTGTCATTGCCTGTATGTATAGAAGGAATAAAAATATGCTTACGAATGGAAAAAAGAAACACCTTTTAAACTTCTTTAGGAATTTATTTGCAACAGAGTAATTTAGACTAAGTTATCTTGCAAGTAATAATTTCAAGGTGCGTTAAGTATTTTCTCATAGCCATAAGCAAAAACTAAACCGTAGTAAAGAGCCTTCACTCAGCAGTCTCGTTTCTTTGGATGAAGTGTGTCCTGGTGACCACGCATGCTGCTAACATAAGGGTCCTTCCTCCTAGATTGCTACAGACAAAGACAGCGGGATCCTCCTGTACAAGGGGGACAAAGACCACATTGCGGTGGAACTCTACCGGGGGCGTGTCCGTGCCAGCTATGACACCGGCTCTCACCCGGCTTCTGCCATTTACAGGTGAAGATTTCTCGGTTACTGGTAAAGGTGAAAGCAACTGTTTACTGGAGAACTGCTTCTCCATTATTTCGTCACGGGTAGGGGAGGGAATAAGTGGGCAGGCTCTGTGATCAGTGCGTGAGGGGCCTGGCAGGAACAGACAGTGTACCGGAGTCAGATGACTAACTGCAGGCGAGATTTCTAACAGGACTCTGGGTCTCCCCGTTACCCCAAAGCGGAGTGGCCTTGGGAAACCTTTAGCAAACTGAGATGGAGTGAAGCGGAAACAGTCGCCTGAGGCCCCACCTGCTGAAGGGTGTACCAAATACAAGGAGAGAGAGCACAGGTGCTCACAGACACAGTGCCATTCTAGGGTGGCTGGGCGCTGAGATGCGGAGTGTGGTTCCCACGGGAGGAGCTTTCGGTCCCACTGTCACTGCTCTGGGGGCACACTGTGCCTACACACTCTCTCTGAAAAACAAATGCTATTTTCACTTTCTAAAAGCAAAGCAGAAGAGTCTTATATTCACATTCCTTTGGCCAGACTCCTTTCTTTTTATTAGGGAACACGGGTACTAATGCAGTACCTTCTGCAAAGTGGCTGTAAAGTGAATTCAAAAAGCAGGGGTACCTGTACTTACAAAGCTTGGTAGGGAGAGCGTATTAAACTGGGGCTAAAAACTGGGGATGCTGCTACCACCCATATGGTTGAGGGAGCAGAAGGAGGCAGCTGTTGTGGAAATCCAAGAACTGTGGAGAGGACTGTAGGATGGAGGCTGAAACCCTCAGTGGAGTCAGCTCTCAGAGAAGGACCGTTCCTCCCAATGGTCTCCTGCCCAGTGCTTCCCTTTGGTCAAGTCAGAGACCAGAACACAAAGAATCCACTGATCCCTGTAACATAAGCCACACAGGAGTCTCCCAGGGCTCCGAGCAGGGTAAAGACCCAGGCAGAGTGGCTCTTGAAAAATAACTGCAAGAGAAACTTGGCACAGTGAGTAATTTAAAGTTACTATCTATGCAACACATATTTATTGAGCATCTACTATGGTCCAGGCCCTGTTCTAAACCTTTAAGAACAAAACCCCTGCCCTCGAGAGCTTTCATGTAATAAATCAATGGATGCACACAATATGTGTTGGTAGTCTTACTCATTTTGGAAGGTTTTTTAAAGAATAATTTAATGCTATTGATGATATGTTAGCGATGTAAAAGGGATGGTATTCATGGGGCATAAATGTTGCTGGAAGTGTACTTTTTTGCATCAGGCTAACCTTCAGAGCCCCTCTGGGGGGGTCTCAACACTAGCTCCATCATCCTGCAGAAAAGGTACCTAGTTCTCCCCATGGGGAAATAGAGCAGGGTTATGAAACCTTATGCAGGCAGTGTTTCTTGGGCAGTCAGTAACTCGAAAGAACTAAATGGACCAGTTGAAAGAAAAGAATGTGTTCTCATCCTGTTACTTTGGAAGAGACCTAACTTTTCAGAGACCTATTCCTCTCTTACAGATAGCCTCGGTGTGACAATGTCATAGGCGTGGTTGTGTCTGGAGCAAACCTAAAGCACACCTTTGTCCACTCAGGGCTGCACTGCACCTACTCAGCCCTCCCTGGTGCTTCCTCGCAAAAGCGTGGGTCTGTGCAACTCCAGATTGTTCAAGCAAAGGCAGAAATTGAACTTTTTTTAGCCATGAAGTTTTTTTCCCTTAAATATTGATTCACATTATTTAAAAATACCATTGGTAGTGAATACAATGCAGCTAATGGGCCAAACAAGCTTGAAGCTTGGCAACCAATCTTTGGGCATTGGTTAGAACTAAGTGGAGACACTGACCTTTATATCATTGATATTATTATATGTGTATGTGTGTATATATATTTGTATATATATACACATATGTGCATACATGCACACATATATATCAGTGTGCTTTAAAAGCCTTCACATCCTATCTGATCCTTCATGGAAGTTCTAGGAAAGTCAATGCCATTTGCAGCCATGACCAGAACCCTTTTGGTGGTGAGCTAACCCATTTGGGAACATTTACAACGTGGAAACAAATGCATAATGATTGGTTTCCAAGAGTAATGCAGCCGTTAGTTCATCCCCAAATGGAAGTGAGTCAGTGCCAAGGCCACAGAGATCGCGAGGCCTTCCATCACAGAGCCTAGATTTGCGTCGGCCAGTAAAAAGATGTCAGAAAGTGGATTTTGTGGTTCCCTTTTGGTTTTGATTATTTTTGTTTTATTTCATGCCGTGCAACAGCAGAAAATTTTCAGAAGCCATAATAAAAGTTCTTGAGGTTGGCTTATTAAATCTGGTATTCACAAAATATATATATTTAAAGTATTTCTCGAAAAGTTGTAGAAACCCAAGTAATTATATCCTAATGATGACTTACTGTAAAGAGTTTATTTTGAGTTTATCTTCATTACCATGTTTGCCTAACAAACAATAATGCATACCCATGGCTCTTATGTAGAAGAAGGATACCACACGGCACACTTTTCGGTGTGAACCAGAGGTCCAGGGAAAGCATAGCTGCTAATTCTGGCTCTTTGGTTTGCAGCACAGCAATGAAGAAAAGTTGTATTTTTAAGGAAAAGAAAAGAAACAACACTTACCAAAATTCAAATAAAGGTGATAGTTTGATGAATGGATTGATCAATATGGATTATATGTATATGTAATATGAATATATTAATACTCTGATTTGGAATAGAAAAATACTTTCATGTAATTGAGACCATAGAGAACAATGAAATTATTTCAATATACTAGGAGTATATAGTATTTGATAAGTAAGAATCGTAGTGGCTAAGATATGTATTCAGATCTAGGCTTGGCCAATTGCTGGTATGTAAACTCAGGCAAGGTACTTAATTTTCTGTGCCTTGGAATCATTTCCGTAAAGAATAATATAGCACCCGCCCCATGAGGTCTTTCTGAATATCAGATTGTAAACTACACTGTGTCCTCGCTCACTCACATTGTCTTCGTTCTCATCTACCCACTAACAATACAGGAATGTTTTTCTGGTATCTTTTTCTGTGGAGTATTGTAGGCAGTTGAAAGTGTACCTTCAGTCCTTATACATTAGGAGTAGAAGTACAGGTTGTTTTACAATGTCTACAGAGAGCATTTTGAAAATATCTATCAAAAATACAAGTACACTTGTCCTCTCACCTATAAAAACCCACCTTGGGGAGTTGATCCTGCAAAGATAGCTGAAGGCCTGGAAATAATATGTGTGCCAGGTAATTATCTGTGTCGCTGGCTGTAAAAACAAAGGCTGGGAAACAACCCAAATTTCTATCTAAACAAACTATGCATGGTGCAGCCACAAAATGGAATGTACCAGTAAAAAGAAAAGGGATGAAGGTTGGGAAGGAAAGAGGAGTTTCTCTATATATTACAGTGAAAGATTTTCAAGGTATATTGCTCAACTAAAAAAAATAATAAAGCAAGGCAGAACAGTGTCAAACATGGATAAATTTTTTGTATATTTATCTCCTTGCATTTGCACGGGCGAACAAGGATAGAGAGGAAAGAGTAGGGTGGAAGCAAGACTTGTATATGAATACCATGTTATACCATTTCCATTTGCCAACCACTGGAACATTATTGTCACTCAAAATGAAAACTGAAGTGATGAAAAAGAGCAGGTGTCCCAGAGCAGTCCACCTTCATTTGGGTCCCAGCTCTGCCACCTATTAACTGTGTGCCCTCAGCAAATGGCATAAGGACTCCGGGCCTCACCTGGTCAGTGGTCATACGTGATCATAGTTTCGTCTTTGGGGGACTGTAGTAAGAACTTTATGATTTGACACATGTAAGACGTGTACAGCAATGCATACCAAATAGTAAAAATGGTACCTGTTGGGACCGTTTCAGAGTGTCTGGAACTGAGTGCCTTTCCTTTGCTTCCCCCAAACCTGTGCCGCTGCCTCATTCCTGACTTCACTGAGCAGCACCCCCAAGTCCTCGGGCATCGGAAGGGGAGTGGGGTTCTTCTCAATCTTTCTCCGTCCTTCATTGTCAGCTTGAAATTTGTCTCAAGCCTTAACTCTGCTCCTACTAATGTTCTGACAGTTATCCGAATGCTTCTGGCCTGGGTCAGGCTTTGCTAGAATGGGACCTGTGGTGAAAGGTACCCTTCCCCACCATTATAGCAGAACCCATTGACAACACCATTGCTTAATACACATTTCGTTGGGTTGAATTAAATTTTCAAATCTGAATGTGTTTTTACTTAACATTAGAAAAGTAAACTATATCAATGTTTTCAAAAGAGGTATTTTTATTTATTCTTACCTCAGAGAATATGTACAGTTTAAGTTCAATTTAATTGCATAATTTTATATTATGAAAGGTAGCTTCAGGAAACTCTTTTTCCAAATTATGGACTCTGTAATGTGATGTTGGAACATCGCATACACGAATCACTTGGTACAACAGCTGCATCTTTTCAGTTGTGTGGTCTTTTGTCAACATTGGTGGAAACGGAGTTTAGTAAAATAAAATCCGACTCAATTAAAGGAAAATAGTCACACAGTAGGCTATTGTTTCTATAGGACTTTTTATTTGCTTTAAAAAGTTTCATTTAAGATGCCAATTACTGTCTCAAATGAATCTGTAGGAGAACCATTATCTCCTAGAATTGTGTCTACAGGGAGTAGTTCACAGAGCTTAAGTGTGTTTAAGAAAATTCAAGATGTAGTCATTGTTCCTCTCCCAGTAGAACTAAAGTAGCATGCACATCTTCTCATTTCATTTCTCGCATCTGACTTCAGAAAGTTGTAGTTCCAGTTAGCAGACGTGCTAACTGCTAACAAGGTGGTGTGGAGCAATTGTTTCCAAACAGCATTCCTCAGAATCTCCTGAAAGGTGTGTTAGGACACAGATTATGCGGCTCCGCCTCTCGTTTTGGGCTCAGATGACAGATAGGCCCCTGAATTTGTGTTTCTGTAAGTTTACAGTGATCATAATTTCAGAACCACTTTTGTAAAAGGATTATGTTTGGG